CTATTACAATTACAGAGGTATCAGGCCCGGTATAGTTTTATTTTTAGATTATAACGTCTCACTTCTTAATACAATTAATATTAATGTTCGTACAAATATTGGAGATTTCCACAGTTGTCCTTTGTAGCTAAGTGAAACAATTTCCAAGTTGTAAAACCGTTGTATCATCTTAATAATTCTTAAGTCGTTGTCGAGGGCTAGTCTGACAGGATCTATTTGATTTTAATACATTTGTTTATTTATTTTCATTATACGCTTTATAGTTTTCCAATATGCCCTTAGGAAGATTAATTACGTAATAATAATATCTCAGGACCATTCACGCAGCGCCATCTAGTCCCAAGGTAAGCAGAGCTTGTGTTAATAGTGTTATGGATCCTAGACAACTGATAGAAATACACAGAAAACACACCGACAATTCAAACAAACCATTGTCTCAACTCATGAATACAAATGTGTGTACCGTGCGAGGAATAGAATCTGCGACCATCGGTACGACCGAGGCGTATATGTATATCTATATGTATATGTATATCTATATCTATATATAACTCAAAGGTGACTGACATAGTGATTATTAACGCACAGCCCAAACCACTGGACGGATCGGGCTGAAATTTGGCATGCATGTAGATGTTATAACGTAGGCATCCGCTAAGAAAGGATTTCGATTAATTCTACCCCCAAGGGGATAAAATAGGGGATGAAATTTTGTATGAAACTTTGTCAATTTTAAACCGATCGGGACTTTGCATTCATAAATCTACTATGACGTAATAATCCCCTAAGAAAGGATTTTGATAAATTCCACCGCTAAGGGGATAAATTAACGCGAGCGAATCCGCGGGCAAAAGCTAGTATGTTAATAATAATCTACTAACATCCCACGAAAATCCAGTAAATTACATGTATGTACGGTAGTAAACTACTAAACCACTGGCCTCCCTTTTAGTCTCCGTAGGATTTTTTTTATATTAATTTGCTACGTTTATTTCATTCAATGTTGTTTTTTCACTGTGAAGTAGTTTTCTTTCATTTAATACAAATTTATTTCCATGGAAACTGACAGTTCCTGGTATTTTAGACTTCGCATGCATTTTAATTAACAAGCTGTCATTTGCTGGTAATCCGACATGCAGGGAGGTTTTGCTTCTGTTAAAACTGAATACGTTACCTTTCTCCGTATTTAATATCGAAACAAAATAAATTAATACAGAAATTAAAACCTGAATAGTTTACTTTATACTTTTACTAGCTGAGTCCGCGGTTTCACCCGTATGAAAATTGTAGCTTATGTATAAGTCGATGAAACTTTACGGTAATAACACTAATATTCCTAAAATTTCATTAATATCCATTTAGTCATTTTTGCGTAAAAGAGTGACAAACATCCATCCATACTTACAAACTTTCGCGTATAAAGATATAATTTTCAAATTAAAAAAACAAAATTAGAATATCTTTATTCATGTAGGTCTATTACAGACTCTTATGATATGTCAAATCTACCGTCAGTTCGGAATGATTTCGAGATGAGAAGAACTGACAAGAAACTCAGGTCGTATTTTTTTTAATGTTGTACATATTTACAATAATACTATTTCATTTAATTTCAAATTTGGCAGAATAGAGTGACCACCAGCATATGCTATATAAAAAAAATAAAAAAATAAAAAAATCTAATCAGATAAATGAATAAAAGATAGCTTTTAATAAAATCACTAAACAACTTATACATATTTTTTTTGTGTGTTGCCATTCTGAAGAAACAAAATATCAATAGGCTACTAATAACAATAATAATATTTATTTATAGTCATACATAAGACACATAAATATAAATTTGAACATGGTTTATTTGAAGACAAAAAAAAGAATTTAATCTCTTAAAAAGAAACACAGTTTTCAGCGTTGATTTTCTGTGGGGCACATTACGAGTGCACACAATTTATAATTATATATATAAAGCATTACTTACAGATTTTGTACAAAGTGTACTGTTTTATTGACTAAACAGCTACTTTGGCAGAACTCACTGCTCTTTCGGCACTTTTGAGTTAAGTAAAGACGCTGTCAAGAATCTAAATGCAATTATTAGTGAATAAGTGTAATCACGCCGGGAACGAATGATAGCCGTTTGATGTAGAGTCTTTGAAATTCAAATCAGATACAACTATATACATGTCTACCTACGCATTTATGTTATCCTATGATTTGTAAGGTTATTAAACTGTGATATGTTTATATATTAGTTTACTAAGCTAACACATGTACACTCTCATAAAAATGCATAGGATGGAGGGGGAATGGGTTTTGGTTTTTTTTTTGTATATGATAATAAAACGGTGCACCCGCCTGCGCTAATGGTTTACGTTGATGGGGCACCAGTGGAAGATGATAAGTTGAGAATGAGGTCAGGTCACGATGGTTTCCAGGGGGAACTGCGTGGAGGTCAACCTGACATGGTACATTGCTAGCAATGAGATCACATTACTAACAATCCCCTTTTCCCCCGGGGGAAAGGGATTGTTAGTCATGCGGACTAATGATCCCATTACCAGTACCCCCTGGAAACCATCGTGATAAATTCCCTCTAAATTTGTCACAACGGGCTAACTGACCTGACTTCATGTTCAGTCTATCATCCTCCACTCGTGCCCTGTCAGCGTAAACCGTTAGCGCAGGCGGGTGCACCATTCCATTATCATCCATAAAAAAAAAATCGGATGATGGATGGAGATATTACATATTTGGTTATAGTAGGCGATTTTTTTTATTTAATATAATGTCCGTAGCTGGTAATACAAGGTAGATATTTACGGGACGGAATTTGACTCAACGAAAACGAAAGGACTCAACGTTCGTAAGCTTCTAGTAGCGGTGGTCTGGTTTCCGCACTGAATATTAGTGGTATCACAAATGCTTGTAATAGCAGAATTAAACAAAATAATACAAATCTATTAAGCAAAAAGTACCTTTAAATTTAGTCAATCGCCTATATAATAATATATACCTATATACAGCCCCACGGACATTACGTCGTCCTGTGACAATTTTGGTCTCTTTACTTAATAAAAATGTTTATTTCCGAGTTAAATATTAAGAGTTTTATAACGATTGGAGTTAGTAGTTAGTTAGATATCACTACATAGTATAAAACAAAGTCGCTGTCGCTGTCTGTCCGTCCCTATGTATGCTTAAATCTATAAAATTACGCAACGGATTTTGAAGCGGTTTCTTTTAATAGATAGAGTGATTCAAGAGGAAGGTTTATCTGTGTAATACATGCATAATATTGTAGATAAATTCTGATAAATTTAGAGGTTTCTAATGTGATTCGTAAACAAACAAGTAGGTATATTTAGTATTAGCATTGCACCTGTGCGAAGCCGGGTGTGTCGCTAGTATTCTTAATATAATAAGCTTTAGGTAGAGATACATATACCTGCCAAAAATTAAAAGCCATCCTGAAAATCTGGTTGAAGTTTTCTACCGTGCGTTCTTCCAGAAACATTTTGCCCTTTTTTGTATCAACTTTCAGTATTTCCGAACCAATACGATATTGAAACCTTTAGAAAATGAGATTGTTTATACCTACAAGGCCAGCAAGGCACTTGTATTTCCCCTGATGTTGCAGTGTTCATAGACGGCGGTAAGTGAGCAAATGCTGAGTCGCAAGCTAGTTTGTCCTCAATGTTATATATATTGCTATATATATGTACTTAGGTAAATAAAATGTCAACATAATATTTTATTACACTTTCTATAGAAGGTTCTAAGTTGTTTACCTACACTACCGATCACCAGTCAAGGTCCCGTCAGATTCCTATCAAAATTCCAATTTCCAGTAAGTAAATCACCTACAGATAGATCGAATATAAAATCTAACCTGTGCAAATAAATCTAAGTGCCAGAGGAGCCGGTGAAGTCATGATTTAGATATAAAACTGTCTAGACACCACCGGCGCGTCAAAATAGTGAATGTGTTTGACACGAGTATCGACGTGAAACGAAGAATTTTCTCATTATGTAGATACCTTTGTATAAAGTAGTTTTCTTTGGGAGGTACTCCATTCTTACCTATTTTAGGCAGCTGAGAAGTAGCTCTTTTGTAAGCTGTTTCGGTTAGAGGTTGAGATATGGCAGTGAAATTACAGCATAGCATTTTTATATTATTAACCGGGTCATAACACGAATAATTTTATGGCAAACAAAAGTATTTATTTAGCCGTGGTCACGAGCTGACTGGAGTAATGGCTAGTAGTAGAAGCGTCGAGAGAGTTAATAATAGGTATAAAGGATATAATAAAAGGTAAATACCTTTTGCCATAAAATTATTCGTTTTAAGACCCGGTTAATAATATAAATAATGTATATTAAACACGAATGACAATGCCGTTTTTTATCGAGTGGAAACATATTCATTAGACCGCCTCTCCACCAGAGGTGTAACGAAGGTGTGTGTAAAGTTTAACAACTGAAAACCACACGGTGTACCTATGACTGCTATCATCGGAGCCTTGCATTCTACCGCAACTTTGGCGGTGGAATGACAAAGCCTGCCTACCTCTGGTGTCTCTATTAATATCTATGACGTATAAAAGCGACGGTTGCCACTTACCGGTAGGAGGGCCATCAGCTTGTTGCCAGCTATAAAAAGGCAAAGAAGTTGTTGACTCACCTGACGATCTGTGTACATGAGGAGAAATACAGACGTCATTTTATCATGTGAAACCATTACCGTTATCTCATCAGTGATACAACTCATGCGTTTTCCAGAGGATTGACATGACTCTCATCCTACAATTTCGTTGCTCAATCGCGCCTTACAACCACAACACATATTGCAAAGCCTGGCGGCTGAAATAAGTAAGTCTGACGTACCCACGGAGGCGAATTTTAACAGTCAATATCTGATTAAAGTAAAGGAGTATGGTAGTGTAATTATATTATAGATATAATCTAACAGTGTTGTATTATATTTTTTCTCTTTTACACAGACCATTCCATTCGAGACTCTTATAGTGGGAAGCTACAATGAGACAGACAAATGTAATATTTTGTCGGTTTTGGCGGACGAAGATGCGCAGACCTCTTTTCCTTCATCCTCGGCGGAGTCCCTCAAACCAGGTCCTCCGACTTGGTCGAACTATGTTAAAGGAAGCATCGCAAATTTCCCTGGTAAGCGTATAGATCTACACACTACCGTAATCTTAAATGAGATTACTAACCTATTGAAGATATTCGTAATATTTTCTTTAACTTTCTGTCCTCATTTGAATTTTGGTTTGGTTTTGTTAATGAAAGGTAAAATTCCTTACTAATTTAAAATCTAAATTTGCGTAATGTATGGTGGTAAATTTATTATTTATTGTTTGTTATTACATTATTGTTCTATAAGTATATTAAGAGAGTTAATAAATTCTATTCCATTCTATATATGGTCTGAAATTATTTAATTTATTTTTTCATATATTAAATTGTCCGTTGAAAATTTGTAATCATGCAGTAAATGTAAAACAATATTATTTTAAAAATCTGAAGTATGATATTTCCAGATTACAAAGTACTTTGTAATTGTATTGTTTGTCTTCCAAATTTTCGGCTCTCAGACACTCTGTTGTCACTCGCCATTTACAAGCTGTAAATGGCGAGTAATAGCCGTATGATGCCAGTAGTGTGCGTTAGAGACGACATAATGTTTTCTTCTCTTTCCCACAGATAGTGTATAGAAGTCGTGAAATATAAGATAATTTCCGTCGCATTTTTATACAGTCGTCATAACTTTACTTTTACCTCTCTCAACAATTTTGTAAGTTTATTAATAATTCGTTTTTATTATTTTCTATTAACTAGATCCTGTTAAAGGATTCGACGCCGTCATCGTGTCGGATGTACCTATAGGATCCGGTTTATCTAGCAGTGCAGCTCTGGAGGTCGCTGTGTTTACTTTTTTGGAAGCGCTTACGGGCAAAAGTGTTGAGTAAGTACAATATTTCAGAGATAATGTACCGCCCACATGATCACTGTTTGCTGTATGGTTGACTGGGAGAAAATGCCTGCGCATGTTCCGCCATGTGCATGGGTGTGTGTAGTTTTACTATACAAATGAAGTAGTAAATACATTTTTAGAAATTTGAACATAACATTTAAACAAATTATAATTATATTTTTGTTACGGCAATATTAGAGATTATATTATAAATTTACTTTCTAACTAGTCATATAGTAACATCACTAAATAGTGATGTTAACTATATATTACAGAATGGATTGATCAATACAAACACTCATACTCATAAATCACTACTTGCTTGTGACGATATTTCTATTCAAACTATATATTACAGAATGGATTGATTAGTACAAACACTCATACTCATGCATATAAATGTTTAGATCGTGCGAGGAATTGAACCCGCCACCATCGGAAGTAAAGCTGTATGCTTAACCGCTGTACCACCGATGTGATGTCGTCATTATTTCACTTTAGAACCTCTTCCGGAAACGTATAAGGTTATCATCTAGTAAGGAGTCGGTTATCATTACATAGTATGAAACAAAGTCGCTGTCGCTGTCTGTCCGTCACTATGTATGCTTAAATCTTTAAAACTACACAACGAAATTTGAAACGGTTTTTTTAATAGATAGAGTGATTCAAGAGGAAGGTTTATATACATATACACCCGTGCGAAGCCGGGGCGAGTAGCTAATATTAATATAAACAAAGAAATCACTTACATTTATCTTAATGTAAATGCTTAAAAGTAAGGAAATGAAATATTGAAGGACCACTTCCGTAATCCGTTTGAAGTGATAGATCTTTAATGGATCTCATTGAATATTATATTTTATAACAAACAAATAAGATCGGTTATTACTTAACAAATATTAATAAAATAATTAAACTAAAAAATATAATAATATATATAGTAATATTAAAACTATTTCTATTCTATTAGAACAATTTAATATAAGAAGTAATAATAGATGGTACATTGGATGTATAAAGACATAAAAATTCTCTATTAAAAACATTACCAGCAATCTAGATCATGCCATTTAAAAGTAGGTGTATGCAAACTTATGCATACTAAAGCAACTCTAAGATCGAGCTTTATAAATATACTAGCTGTGCCCGCGACTTCGTCCGCGTGTTATTTAACTTTATTTTTATAAAATAAAAGTAGTCTAAGTTACTTCTTATTACATCAGCTACCTGCCAAAAAAAGTCCCGTCAAAATCGGTACAGCTATTTCGGACATTAGCCGGAAGAAACTGACAGACAGACAGGTAAAAATTGAAAAATATGATATAAAAAATGATTATTTCAATAATAAAAACAGACACTCCAATTTTATTTAGCTATGTATATAGCTGAGCTGTAATAAGGAGTGACTTAGGCTAATTTTATTTTAGAAAAATAAAGTTAAATTCCACGCGGACGAAGTCGCGAGTACAGCTAGTTATATAAATATAAATATAAATAAATGTTAATACTTTCAACTCAGATATTCGTATACCAAGGGAACCACTCAAACTAAACAAACAGTTTGAAATAAATAATAAATCGTGTATATATCAACAAAACATACAAAAGTATAGTTTGCCGAGATGAATATCGAGCGAGTTTCAATACTAGCAACAAACGAAAAACTGATGGTAAACGAATACATCTCTATGTACGAATATGGTCATAAATTGTTTTTATCATCTACTTACTGCTATTCAGTTCACCCGTGATCATGGCGGTTGAAACACTGCCGAAATATCGGGAGCTCTATAAAAATAATAAAACGTGGTAAGATCCCGTGATTTTTCCTCATAGTACGTGTAAATATAAGAAAGCCTTATCCGTCCGGTCCATTTAGCAGCATACTTCTTCTCGCTCTTTCCCTGAAAGAAAAGAGTGAGAGAAGAAAGAGAAAAGTGACAGAATAATTTTACTTTTTACAACTTACGTCAAATATTACTCTTTTTTTATCGTTCGTTTTGTCGCCTAGTACCTATAACACAAGCTCTGCTTAGATTGGGATTAAATGGCGTTATGTGAATTGTCCAGGGACATTATTATGATTATTATAATAATAATATTATTTGCAGTGCTATAGAAAAGGCACAATTATGCCAGAAAGCTGAACACGACTTCCCCGGAGTGCCATGTGGCATCATGGACCAGTACATAGTTACAATGGGCAAGAAAAATCATGCTCTACTTATTGATTGTCAGTAAGTAGTGAATAATAATGTTTTAGTAGTATTAAATGAGATATTAATAGTTTTAGTAGAGTTGTATTTGCATTTCGTTAATACAAGTTGGTCAAGTGGGTGTCGCTTCAAGGGAGGCTTGTGACTGCGGAGCGCGATCCTAGACTATGGCACACCTGCTGGTTTGAACTTTGTGGGACCTAAGGGATGCGACGGAGTGCGCAAGGGTTGTCGTGGCGTTTTGGGGAAAATATATTTAAATATATGTATTTGGTTGCCGTTGAAATGAAGAAGAATTTCGTTAATATAAGTTAAATGGCAAATATGTTGAAAATAATTATTTCAATATCTCGCCGCACCCTACAACCGAATTAGAAAGGAAGAGGCTTAGCGGTTGAGTTCGTCAGAGTAGCTGTGAACTGCCATTCCATCTCGCAACTTCGGCATATGGCTTTGGTTCAGGGAGATCTTGGAGTTTTAGTGAGTGGTAGTTTCATAATACTCTTCGACAATGAATAGTCGAGATATAACTTAGGGTTTTAGCCGATAAGGGTCCGGCAGTGTTCGGTATCCTTAGAGTACACGGGTCTCCATGATGGAGTTTCCTAAAAAAAAGTCAGGCTGAGGTACCCAAGCAGACGACTACACTCGAGGCGTTTTGGTGGAGTTTTTGTTCCATGGGAGATTATGTACAATATTTTTGTACCCAATTTTTCAGTCATTGTCGAAGGATATTTCCAGATAACTAGATATCCGGAAACATCCTTGTTGTGTCAATAATATGAGAGTGAATTGAAATACAAATTTGATACGAAACACAATGGCTGTACGGGCTTAGACCCTTTACCTATGTTATAAGGATAACAAAAAAAAAATACAACCATGTGGTTTTATTTTTTTGCTATTGTAAGTGTATAATATTTTATACTTTCATGACTACCAGATAGTTGTAGAAAATATGAAATCGACCGAGAAATATTTTATTGCCTTTATTTAAATGTAAAGGTTCTTAACTAAACGACGCTCTTACCTGTTTAGTGAACTTACAGGGAAATCTGCTTTGATATTTTATTTATCACACATTTAATGATTTAAGTGAGTGTTGTTGTAAACAAAATGTAAGTAATAATACAAATTAAATTATTACAATATGAATCTCCAAAAAAGATTGGGACATTATAATATTTTTTTTATTAAGTTTTGCAAACATATATATATATATATATATATGTACTAAACAATTAATACAAATACATAGATACATAAGTAATATTATCAATTAATATCTTATTATATTGAAAAATAGAAAAAAAAAAGATTGATATAGGACCTTCAAGCGTCTTTTACAAGTCATGATTTTTCACTATCCTTAACGGCAACTGATTGTGAATGTATGATTTTTTTTTATAATCATAGGTCACTGGAAGCAACCCAAATACCATTGGAGTTGGGTGAATATGTGGTCCTGGTGACCAATTCCAACGTCAAGCATGAGCTGACAGGCAGCGAGTACCCACAACGCAGGGCGCAGTGCCAGCAGGCCGCTGAGAAGCTGGGTCTATCTTCACTGAGGGGCGCAAAGAGAGAAGATCTTGAAGGTAAACTTAATTTTAAAATCCCGACTGCAGTAAATTAGATAAATAGGTAAGTAGAAAGAAATTATTATCATAATTGCTTTGCCTTTAACCCATTATTTTGGGGTCGGCGCAGTAGTTTTCCTGCATATCTGCAGATCTGCAGATCAGCCGTCATATCTGAGCTTACTCTCCTTTAATACATCATTTATCACATCAATATACTTCAAATAATACAAAATAATGTAATCTTGGGACAATTCACAAAGCATCATCTTGACCCGTAGCTAAGCAGAGCTTGTGTTATGGGTACTAGACAACTAATAACAGCATATAGATGCTTTATTTGTAAATACATAGATAATATACATAGACAACACCCAGACTGTTAGAAACAATTGGTTAGATACAAAAAGTTGCATCGTGCGAGGAATCGAACTAGTGACCATTAGAAGTAAAGCGGTGTGCTAAACCTCTAGGCTACCGAGATGATTTTGTATATATTCTACTTTGCGAAGAGATGAAATACATAAATAATATATAACAGTTTATAAATAAAATGAAGGGGCGTCATTCCAGAAGAAAATGTTTAATTGGCAGCAATCAAAATTACGGATATAATGTTAAATTATGAATTGTATACAAGAGCTTAAATATAATTTGCTTCACATTGCAAATAAATAATTGGAATCTGATAGGATTGTTATATGAGAACTATCTGTAATAAATAATAATGTTAATAAGAAAAATATGCTTACGATAACTAGACTTTCAAACGCTCGAAAAGATATTGTAACAGAATGAATTGAATGTTGAATGCATAGATTGGAACGAATGATATGATGCATGATTCGAATGAAGAATGGAACGACTTGTTCGAATTTTGAATGATATAAATTATGTTATTATACTATGTGCGCTGTAGCATGGAGCGGTGACAGTTGCTACATTTAACAGTTGCTAAATTTACTAGTAACTTTTTACTACAGTTATTAATGATTTAATATATTACGAATGTGGTAGGTACAGCTGAAATAATAAGTCGTAATTTGTAAATGGCGGCTAACTTTCAAGAGTGAACCGAAACGTTACTGAAACTGTCACCCGCACCATGCTACAACGCACATGGTATAAGGTTGTCGATTATAATATGACGATGATATCCGAATGAAAAATAGTCAAACGGCCGGAAACAAAAGAAAATAAAAAAAAAAATAGAACTAATTGTTCGAATTTCGAGTGCGACAAATGCTGTTTTGTTTTTTTTCTTATTTTGGCTTCGGCAATGCTGTTTAGTATGTCTCAATGAGTCTAAATATCAGGATTGCGTGTCTCAGAACAAAAGATTTTTTGTGTAAAACTGTGGTATCAAATTTTATTAACACTGTATTACAAGCTATTGTCTGCATAGATTCATTTTGAATATTTTATATATATCTGAAATGTAAATACTTACTAATAATAAAATAAGTTGTTTATGAAACAGTAAAAATTCTTCTTTTTTAGAACCATTACAAATAGTTTCATATTTTAAATTTTAGTTTAATTCTTATATGGAGATTACCTATACTTATAAAATGTAGTCTAATTACTCTGTGCTAAGTATAGTATATAGGTGATGCCCAAGTCTGTCTCACTAGGAACCAATATTTTTCTTATGAATCTGTTACATTTTTTTTTCTTCATAGTATTTTTGTAAGCAATGTTTTGAGAATTTTATATATAAGATATATGTAATATAACCTCTACTATATGTAATGAACAGTTATATAAATAGTTACGTATATGTAGTTATATAAATAACTTCTACAGTATCAGAGACTATTTGACTTCATGTAATTATAGTTTTAATAATATTGACTGACATTAGTGGAATATTGTGTTACTTATTATGTTTTTACTGAAAATATATTTAACGATATTGTATTCAAATAATTACAATATTTGTGTACGCTATATGCTGCATGCCGTGTACTTTTATTATATAGTACAAATTTACCATGTAGCAAGCAAATAAATAATTTATTATAATAATTATTATTCGTATGTTAAATGAAAATCCAACCACTACATTTCAAGGATAGGTAAACATTTTTGAAGTTAAATAAATTGACAGAAGTGTGGAGCCATAGCTGTTTACGTTATGGAATAAAGTCAACATGCACACCAATCTATTATTCAAAATTGGAATTGGGGTGAATGTTTTACTTTCTGATAATCTGTACAGCGCAGCTCAGCAGCCATTTATTTTTTACCGTTTAATATTCGGTATTTTTTTATAGATTCCTAAATATATATTGTTTAATATTAAACGATATATATTTAGGTAACAATAATATATTAAACAGTATACCTCCTTCTCTCAACTCCGTGACATCTTTCAGGTTTTATGTCCAACTCATTTACAGTTACTGCGATTAGCCTTTGGAACCTGTAGACCTACGTAAAACACGATCTAAGCCACTTTAGAAAAATAATTTATTTAAATACTTGTTGAGTACACACAATCAGCAGAATTAGTTTTAACTATTGTGCATTGCGTTAGTTTTAGTATATTTATCTAAATTTAACGTGTATATAGGTATGTATATATTAATTTATTTATTCAATATATATTTTATGTACGTATGTATTTAATAATTTTGTTTACTGTATATTTATATAATTTATATATCATGTATAGTTATTTATATGTATTAGTAAATTTAAAACAGCTATACCCCTATCGCTAATACCCCACTACGCTTTCTGTTTATACCCTAAGGTTAGCTGGAAGAGAATGCCATACGTCATTAAGCTCGCCGGTTGTACAAAATCTTTTTGTTCATTAAAGAATAAATAAATAAAGTATATTATATAAACAATATATATACTATATAGTTTATAAGAAATCGCAAGAGTTACATTAAGAAAAAAAATATGGTTCATCATCTATGAATGTCAAACATCATGATGGCGATCGCGTTAAGTATGGCGGAAAAAGTTAAATTACAGACTACGGAAAGATATATATAGCCAGTTACCATCAGATAACTGCTAGCTTCTTTACCATTCTAGTTTTTTTTAAACAAACACGGAGCTTATTCTTTCACAATTTTGTTGTATCTCACAGACAACCTGTAAGGCAAACTAAATACTGTAAACTAAGCACTACACAAATCGTGTCACTCCTTACATTACATTTTGCTATTGTGCTATTGTTTTTAGTATATAAAGGTCAATATTGACCTTTATATACTAAAATTTGTCAGTTCTCTCCTCAATATGATAAACTCTTATCTGTTAATATCAATATACAACATCGTAATATTATCTTGCAAAAGGAACTAAAAAGTAAAGTTTTTTATGGAATCATTATAACTTAGAGACAAGTTGAAGTAATAAAATTTCTCTTTTACATATAAAAGCTGAATATCCATTAATCACCTTTAATTTCAGTAGACTTCTGTTCGCTTAAGTAAATATTACGATGTGATTTATTACTGAAACAACAATGCTTCGTAATGTCAAAACATAGTTTCAAATCAATCAATTGCTAAATCTATACTAATATAATAGACGATCTCCGAGGTTAAGTAACCGCTAGGTTTAGAATACTTCCGATGGTCGCGGGTTTGATTCCTCGCACGATGCAATCATTTATATATGATACAATTATTTGTATAGAGTTGGATGTTTTTTATTATGTATGTATTCACAAAAAAATGTATTTAAATATTCCTATCAATTATTTAGTACCCATAATAGAAACTCTGCTAAGTTTGGGACTAGATGGCTCTGTGTGAATTGTCCAGGTTATAGCATGAAGAAGATATGATAATAATATATCGTATCTTGTCTACCGAGGTAGCGTTTGTAAAAAGTCGTCTGCCTATGCGGTATCTTAGTCGCTTCCACTTTCTGGCTAAGTAATGGACTTACTTACTTACTTACTTACTTACTTACTTCTTTACTTTAACTTACTAATGGACTTCTGTAAAATAACACCTAATGCGATAAATATATAGAAAACTTTAATATCATGCCGTGATATGTGGCGCTGTTTATGGGCTTAATAATAATAAAAATCATATTTATTTGTATTAAATAAAAACTAATACAATTGCTGCTTACAATAATAAAAGTAGTTGTTCCTGCGAATACGTTCGCGTGGAGTTTAACTTTACTTTTTTAAAATAAAAGATTTTTTTTAATAAAATAGCCTAAGTTACTCTTTATTACATAAGCTACCTGCCAAAAAAAATCCCGTCAAAATCGGTCCAGCCATTTCAGAGATTAGCCGGAACAAACAGACAGATAGACAGACAGATAAGAATTGTAGAAATAATAATTTTGGTGTATGTACGGTACATACACTTATATTATATATTTATATTCATAAAAAGTATAGTAGTAAAAAAGGTTATTTCAATGTTACAAACAGATACTCCAATTTTATTTATATCTATAGATGTATAGATAATAAAATTTAAAAGTAATAAACGAGACAAAACGATCTGTAACTCAGAGTGGGCAGTGAGTCCACCCTATCTGTTATTGTGTTATAGGATTTATTAGTAGGTATCTTTTTTTTATAGCCATTATTGGAAATATGCACCCGCCTGCGCTTATTGTTTACGCTGGCGGGGCACCAGTGTAGGATGAAGAAAATGAGCATGAAGTCAGGTCATTCAGTCCATCTTGAAATAACCATATTGAAAATGAATGAATGGCAAATTTGAATTTACCACGATAGGTCTAGGCATAATTTACCCCTACAGGCAACGGTTACCACTTACCATCAGGTGCAATTTGTGTACTACAGGTACAGAAATAAAAACAAATTCGCTAACATTAGGGTTTTGGGGGAAGGGGATTGTTAGTAATGGGGTTTAGTGTCCCCATTGCTAGCAATGTATCAAGTTAAGTCTACCTCCACGCGGTTCCCCCTGGAAACCATCCTGGTTAATTTCTGATGATTTAATGACGATGGGCAAACTGACCTGACTCATCTTATCATCCTCTACTGGTGCCCCGCCAGCGTA